TGTACTCAGACCAGTAATATTTGGGGTCACAAGTTTTTGCCCTGGATAGTTTGTGGGTCAGAAGATAAAAAGTTTGGGAACCACTGCTCTAAAGTACAAAAGAAAACTGGAATCTGAAAAGAAAGCAGTGAAACTTTAACCCTTTAAAAAAATAGTCAGTAAATTCCCATTTTTTAGAACTGACATGTTTTTTGGACCTTTAAACAAAATCCAATTTTTTTTGCCACATCACTTTGTTTATGATATATATTTTTGTATCAAATCTGATCCACTGGGCTGTTTTTGTAACATTTTGCTCACAACAAAGTTGAATGAAGAAACAAAAGACAGTTTTGCCGATAACTTTTAACAAGTTTAGGACACTCTAGGAAGTTTACTTCTTTGTGTTTTTTACAGCCATTTATTTCACTTGGTGGTCGGCACAAATACAGCTTCTGTCCTTCTTCAGGCACAGATGTGCCTTACACTTTATTAAAAATTGCCATTTGTTATCATATTGATGACATTTTCTTACTTTATTTTTTTCCTCTCTTCTTCCTCAATTTTCTTTGACATCTAACACGTTAATATTTAGTCAGTACAGCATAGAGATTATAATTTCAAAGGAAACCCCTTTGAAAATAGCCAAAATGTGTTTTCAAATAGCATTTCAGTAATTAATCAATCATCCAAAACAGTGTGTGTTGTATTGTGGCAAGAATACTGTTAATTAAATTACTAAAATGTCACATGACAGTTCAGGACGTATATACCTGCAGTATCAAGTTTGATACACAAATCTTTAACACGGTTTAACTGTACTATTGAAAATATTTTAAGTAATTATGCATTGTTTCAACACAGAACGTATTTATTTAAAAAATTACAAACAATATTGATGTTATTCTTATCATAACTTCTCCAAAATTAGCTAAAGTTTTCCTGAAAAAAATGTGTGGATGACCTCATGTCAGCAGACATTTTGAAAAAATAAAAAGAAATTCCACTTCCTGCAGTACATTGTTCATCCACCAGAGGGCAGAATACAGATCTCACATTATACAGTATGTACATCAGGTATTTGAGGAAAATATTGACCACTGATAAAATATAGGTGACAGAATCCTGCGGAAATATTAAAAGCAGCAGAAGAAAAGGAAGCAGAAACCTGAAGCCCCACTCTGCTCTCTGTGCTTCTATCTAAACCTGATCACAGTTTTCAGATTGGGTCAACGCTGAAGCTTTTCAGAGTTTCAGCCTCACAGACATGAGTTGTTGTTTCTGACCACTGAGAAACAATAAAAAAGATCTACCTGCACTGACAGACTCCATCTGTGGAAGTTAGACGTGATGTTTTCTTCAGCCAGAGACCGCAGCAGGTCTTTGGGGAAACTCCGGAACAGACGACTGGACTGAGCCGCTGCAGCAGAGAGACCAACAGCCGTCAGAAAAACCCTGTAAACATCTGTAAAAGCAGCTCGACACAGCTGTGACGCAGTGTTTCTGCAGTAAAACCGGAGCGAACGGTGACACCTGGTGTGAGCGTCAGGGGCAGAGCCACAGCCTTGGTTCTGGTCTGGGTCAGCAGGTTTTTCCTGGCTGTGAGGACAGAGAGCTGCTGGAACCCCTGACAGGTCCCCCACACGGGGAAGTAGTCTCCAGCATTGTTGGCCTGCAGAGGAGAGACAGGAGGAAGGTTTAAATGTGCTTCGGTTTCAGCCGTCACCACATCCTCTGCAGCTCGTATCGTACCCTCAGAGCCAGGTTGTAGAAGATCCTGGCTGCTCGACTGAACTGTGACGTCTTAATGTCCACGTCTCCTCCAGGCAGCAACAACCTGAGGAAACACAGGAGCTCGTTTGATCACGTTCACTCTGTCAGCCTCGGCACAAACACCTGGTCACGTCTGAATCCTGCAGGAACCACGCAGGGCTTGGATCAGAGATTCTTAACCTACGGGTCACGGCCCACAGCGCCACCTTGAGGGACTCAAAAGAACAACAGTTTTTAACTTTGGGCCGCAGAGGGCCGTGGGACCGCATTGATTTTTAATAAGATGCAATACAGTTTCTCACCACTAGTAGCAGTAGTGCACCACTCAGATGTTTAACATTTTTTTAATAAGTAGAAGAAGAACCTTAGAAACCTGCCGAGAATGGAAACTTATTTTAAATGAAAAGTAGAAGAAAAAATGAAAGTAACTCATCAAAAACACCAAAGTTTGTCACTAATATGAAGAGCAGCTTCTGGTTCTATCATACAATATTTTAAAAGTTCAAAACATTATTAAATACAGTTGCAGATACAACTATATTTTAATTTGCACTTTATCAAATTA